CATTGAGGCAAAGCTACAGAGAATACCAGCCCTGAGCTGGCAGATAGCCTTTGCCCCCAAGACATCCCTGACTTGGGCTGTCTTGCCAGGGCTATGCTAGCCTCTGTCAGTCCTTTGGGCATAGACTAGATTTAACATGAGGTAATGTTCAGCAGACCAGGTGGGAGGGAGGTCAGAAACTGTTGTTGAAAGGAAGTTTGTGACTCTAAATTGGTATCTCCGCTCTTTGCCAGTTACTCTTTTACGTGGTTTCCATTCTCTGCAGATGTCAAGGCATGTGTTAATAAGCCTTGCTTCAACCTAAGAAGGTTAAGGATGAGGTGTAGTAGATATTGCTTGATACTTTTCTTCTGTGGGGCATGGTTTTAGAGCCAAGATATTTGTATTTATTGTCTTGGCCAGTACCAAGAAAGGAACTTTCCACAGAGGTCCAAAACTTTGAGTTCATAATGTGGGAGTGGGGGGAAGGAGGGTTGGAAAGAAAGCTTAAAAGATGCTACAGAGGCAAATTTGCCAAGTATCTTTCTGTCTTTGATCGGATTTTAATGCCTGTGTTGATCCTTACAAAAGACTGAAATCTCCAATATTGATAGATAAAATTTAAAAGAGAGAAATAATATATTTTCTTCTGAAGAAAATTTTGACATTTTTTTCCTAGCTTCAGCATATTCCTTGCTAAGGTGCCTGCTTATGCTCACATCTCACACAATGATGACTCTTCCTTGGGTTCTGCCCTGAAAGTAGAGACCTGGACCAACTTTCTTTCTGGAAACATTTTATTCGAGTATTTTTGTGACACCTTCTCTTAAGTTTCCTTCAACCTCTCTTGTCTTTCTTTATAGTTTGGTAGCCCTCAACAACTTATATGCAGGAAGTGTAGCCCCCAGTGTGGCACTGTTGAGGTGTGGAACTTTTAAGGGGTGAAACTAAGGGGAAGATAATTAGGTCAAAAAAATCTCTGCCCTATGAATGGAGTAACGCTGTCTTTCGAGAATGAGTCAGGTCTGGTATGAGTGGATTAGTTTCTCCAAGAGTGAGTCGTTGCAGAGTGATCCCGCCCCCCTCCCTATTCTCTTGCTTTCTTGCTGGCATGAGTGACCCTTCTGCATGTAGCTGATACCCTTTTTGTTTTTCTACCATGTCGGGACACAGTCAGGCAACTCTTGTTAGGATGCTGATGGCATGCCGTTTGGATTCTCCAGTCATGAGTCAGGAGCCAAATAAACCTCTTTTCCAGCATCCAATATTTTGTTATAGTAACAAGAAACAGACTAAGCCAATGCCTATTCAAAAGAGACTTCATAGACTTTCAAACCTACGCCAACTTCACCCTACCTGCTCCCCTTTTAGTATGTTTTGTGTCTGTGAGCAGTCGCCAAACTTCCTGCACCAGAAACTAAGGAACCATTCTTGACCACTTCCTCTGTCCCACATCCACATCATCAATTCTTCTATGTTGCTGCCGCTTACATATCTTCTGTAATATCACATCTCTTTCCATCTTTCCCTGCTTTAACGACCTTTAGGCCTGGCCCGAACAGGTAGAACGGTCACTCCATTCCAGCTGCCTTCCAGTTTTCCACATAGCAGACAGTGATCTCACTGTTAACAGTTAACAGAGTCTTTACTGTGGGTGTATCTTGCTTCCCCTGCTACCTCTTATGCCATATGCTGGGTTCAGCCCACTGGTCTGCTTTCAGTTCTTCTGCATATCGGTTCTCCTTCTATTACTGGACTTTCTCACTTTTTTCTTTGAATAGACAATACTTTCTTCCATCTTTAAACAATCTTGTTCTGCAGAGAGATCATCTCAAACGTCAGTTCCCCAGGAATGCATCGCCAACTCCCTATCCCCCATCTTGCTTCTCCGTGGTACAGTTCACACAGGAACTTATTTTTTTCCTTTAAAGCACTTGATTTAGATTTTCAAAATATTTGCTTGCTTATAATTTATTAGTTGAAAATTTATCTCCATCAGACTATAAACACTGTAGTACTGGCTAACTGCTCACTGAGATGAATGTACAGGATCCAGTTTTTACAGAGAATTTTGCATTTATTAGGACCTGGCTATGCATTAAATAAAACAGTGAGTCAGTAGTACAAGGTGACTATAACTGAGGTCAGGGACCATGGTCACTGGGCAAGTCAGAATTTCTTTTTCCATTCAGTGACTGAAGCTCACTCTTATATTTATTGCTCCACTGATGGCAAGGAAACAATGTTTTTCCCTGGAGTTTTGCATCTATAAAAGTGTCGTGAAGGTTGGCAGAGTGGAAACCTCAGAGAAAGGCAGTGTTGGCGGATGGGGTCCTTCCTCCTGGTTCCCGGTCTTTTGTTCTTTAAATCAGTGCTTCTCAAGCTTTAGCAAGCATCAGAATCAAGTTGTCAAAACAGATTTCTGTGGCCCACTCTAGAATTTCTGTTTCAGTAATGATAATTTACATTTTTAACAAGTTCCCAGATATTGTTGGTGCTGCGGGTGTTGGACTACATTTACAGGACCACTGCTTTAATTATTCCAGCTTGGGGGTTTCCAGTCTGGGAAACTCAATCCCAGACTAATTTCCCTTCATGAGAAGGAGCTCCCATGCCATGGCCTACTTGGTGACTTCATCTGTAAGTTCATGTGTTCGAAGAAGTGGACATTAGGTGGGGAGAGTGTGGTCCCTGATGATTCCACAGTTAGACGGCTGTGAGTTACCACTACAACTCTGATAGCTGACCTGTTATTGGTAACTAACTGCAACTCCAGGGGTTTCAAGAAATATAGTGTATTAATTCAAGTGTCTAAAGAAAAGCGTTTTTCAACCCAGGTGATCTTGTGTTTGGGCTGAACAGCAGATGAGGAGCATGGCAGTATCTTTTGGCAGAGGCAGCCCCTGCCCGTGGCTCCAGGGAAGTGGAGGAAACCCAGCTGTCGGGGAGGGAGCACAAAGGAAGCCAAGAGAGGAGCTCAGGTAGGGTGAGTGATGTGGAGTTTTAGTCTAGTCTGTATTTCAAAGGACTTGAAAGAACACAGGTCTGGAGATGACAGTGTGATGTTGTACACAAAGCTTTGGCTGAAGAATGCTTTGAAAAATACCCATGGTTCTTGTTCTGCTTTGCTGATTTACTCAACATCTCTGGCCTAACATTCCTTCAGCCATAGAAGTGGAGTTAGTCTAGATCAAAGGTCAGTGAATCTTTTCCTATCCAGGGCCACAAAGTAAATATTTTAGAATTTGTGGGCCATACCCTTTATTGTAGTCAGGGCTTTACTAGGGCAGCAATTTAATACAGGACATATAATTTATAGTATTATTTTATAGTTGTCACCCAGAGTCAAGCACAAAAGAGGGCAGGAAATCTGTGTACACACTAAAGACCCAAAGTATCCAGCTGAGGGTCGGGGCCCCACTGCAATGTCTTGCATGAGTCCAGCTGAAGGCCTAGAGCCCATGACAATGCTCCTCGCGAGTCCCACTGGAGGCCTAGAGCCCACGACAGTGTCTCGAGCAAGTCTGCTTTACGGATCTGCCCTGGGAAGCCCCAAAGGTCAGTGGTGGAATCTAGAAAGTCTGTGCCATGGCCATGAAGGCTCTGTGCCAGTAGGCTGAGGACTCTGCACTGGAGCCAGGAGGCGACACTCAAAGTAAGGACCACAGCTCCCCGCAAAAGTACCATAGCCATCCTCAGTGATAACGAGGTTCCAAGCTCCTCCAGTGATGAGAACAGCTGAGTTCCTATCAGGAAAGCCAGTGCAACAAGCTTCTCCAAGAGATTGAACAGTGCACTATCTTCCCCTCTGGAGCCAGGAAGCGATGCTGAAAATAAGGACCAGAGCTCTGCCATAGTGAACCATAGCCATTCTCAGTGACAACAAGGTCCCAAGCTCCAACAATGAGAAGAGCAGAGTTCCTATCAGGAAAGCCAGCATGGACAAACTGCTCCGAGAGAACCAACAGCACCATTTCTTCCTTTCGAGTTCTCCTTTTTATGCTGTTGACAACAATCCTCAGGTGGGCCTTCCACACCCAGCATCACGATGATTCAGTTCACCTGGGTGTTACAAGTTGCCCACCATTTGTCAATCCACAACACCCCCTCTGACACAAGTATGGAACTCTGCCCTTATAGTGTGAAAATAGCCTTAACACTCTGTAAGTTAGTGGGCATGGCTGTGTCCTAATAAAAAATGTATTTATCCAAACAGATGGAGGACAGAGCATCATCCTTGATTGTGGATGATTAATGTTTGACTTTTTTTCTCACACACTCCTATAAATAATGACAAAACAATTTGGCATATGTGCTTCATCAGATGTAGATTGCTGTGAAAATAATATATATCTATAAGATTCTGATATATTATACACGTTACAAAACATACCCTTAAAATAAAACTTTAAAAGGAATATGATAAAACCAATAAAAACAAATGATCCAATTTCCCCGCTAAATTCTAATGGCTCTTTTTCCATATCCCCTGGAGACTTTTGGAGGCCATTCATCTGGAGAGTTTCAAAGGTTCTTTGGTACTCCCATTGCTGTTGTCACATGTGGCATACTACCCAGGATGTACAACTGCCAGGTGATTTTTAGCTAAATCACCTAGACTTTACCTTGGATAATCTGTGCTAACAGAGAGAAGAGGAGGTACAGGCAATGCAAAGTAAAAGAGCCTAATGTGGTGTTGTACCGGTTCTCAGAGGCTGGGGCTCCTGCCGGGCTGGGCATCTGCCTAGATCCTGTATGCAGAGGACCAGGCAGCTGGGAGACATCAGCTGTGGATAATTGAATACTTCTATGAAGAGAAGTCCTCATAAACTTTTAATTGTGAAAGGAGCCTTAGAAATCTGCCTGTTCATCCCCTTTGTGTTTCAGATGAGATCTTCGTGTTCAGAAAAATTCTATGACAGCTAGTTAGAGGAAAAGTTGGGCTTGGAATTTGGGACTTTCAAATTTTCACCTAAGCCTTACTTTTTGTTCTTTGTGTTTCTTCTTGCCTTTCATTTTAGATCGATCCCCTTTTCAAATCATAATGAGCTGCAACAGCAAGACTTTCTCATCTCCACCTCCAGGTGAACACTGAAATGACTGCACTCACAAACACATCAGCCTTCCTGGGACTAGGGAAGAGCTGTTTTGTGGTCTTCTTTGCAGTCTCTTCAGTTTACCTTAAACTTTAAGCACGTGGCCACCTGGAACCCAAAGAAAAAACATTGCTAAATTGGCAGAGAAGAGTGCACTTGTTCATCAGCCTGCGGTGAGTGTGGTTGTGTTTGCAAAGGGAGAAGAGTGGATATGGAATTCAATGTTTTCCATATGAATGTGTGCAAATTCTTTTATGAATTCTCTCTGAATAAAAAAGGGCACTGTTGCATATGGGGAAATTTCACTAACAACCCTCCAAGGCTATCCATCCAATTGGCACTGTTTCATGAGACTTTAGAAAGGGAAAGTTGGAGATTTACTCTGCAGTGAAGAGATTTGACTTTGGACTAATCTGGGTTTCCATGTGCGTCTAGTATTTGATTCCTATTCCCATGGGTTCACAGAGGACTGTAAATGTAACGAGCATGGAGTTTGAAAGTTGCGGCAGGGAGTTTGTGCCTCTTGGATAGGGATGAGATAACACTATTGTGTTTCAGTCAGCTCTGGGCCTTACCTCTGGAGCAGCCAGAACAGCTGCGCTGTGGATGGTGGAAGCAGCCTACGTGACTTCTAGTGGGGAGGTCCAGCTTGGGCAGGTACATCTCCTGTCCTGGTTCTACTGGCATTTCTGCACAGGTCCTTTTGCCAGTTGCTTCCATTTTAAATGCACTTCTGGGCATTTCCCTTTCAGAAAAGCTTTAGGATGGAAGTGTCCTTCCTCTAACTTAGCACTTCCATGAAATACAAAAAATTTCTCTGTAGGTGGAGGCCAGAAAGTTTTTTTTTTTTTTCTATTTCCCTCCCCCCTTTCATATGGGAATGAGGATGAACATTTCCTCCCAATGAGGTACTGAGCACAAAAACGCTGCCTGTGCTGTCTGATCCTATTGGTGGTCTTGTTGGTTGGACCTTCTTGCTATAGTTTCAGCAATGACTAGCTAGTTTAACACATTGTACATCTAGAAGGGGAGTTTAAAGCTTCCCTTTTTCCTTTTTACATCTTCTAGAGACTTATTTCACTCACTAGTTCTACTGTACATTTTGATAGCTAGTTCTGCTTTGAGTACAAATTAGAGAGTGTTTTCCCTTTCTGGCTACATGTTCAATCACTCAATGAGAGTATATGTCAGAAATATTCAGTTTTTGAACTTCATCAAAGGAGAAGTGATTTTGGGTGAATGTCAAAGAGAAAAAAACACCAGGTAAAATCAGAAGATTCCTTCAATGTAAGAGTCTGATTATATAGAGTTCCGTCTTTTCCTTTGGGAAGGCTAAAACTTTGTGGTAATTCTCAGCTTTTCACCCTCTCCTTTTTTCCGTTAATGCCTAGGATAAAATTTCTTCTTGCTCTCATATTCAAATATAGATTTCTGCCTTAGGAAAATCATAGCTCACAAAATTGCCTCAGACAGGCATGAGATCTGGTTCTCTGCAATTTTCCAAATGCAAAAGTCAAGGGAGAAAAGTCATTGAAATGCTTCCAAGGAGCCCAGTGCCTTCTTAGAAGAGCACGGCTTTGTGTGTTTGCCAGATCTGTACCTGATGCTAAATGTAAGAGGTAAACATCATTCCATAGCCAACCTGAGAGGTTTGCTGGGGGTGGGGGATGAGAGAATTTTCTTGGAAGTGCTCAACAAAATGCTGACCGCGTTTTCCAGGGCAGAAAGGAAATAAGGGCTTTGTTTTGGTCTTTGAATACAGAACTGGTAAAAGCCCCAAACAGAAAAACAAAAATCTTTCAGATGTATATTCTAGTAAAAGACATTGTGCTATCTACCTCTGTCCAAAAAAGAAAAAAACCAAAAACCCAGTGAGAGTAAACAGCACCTTCAATGATTCTTCCAATGCTTCACTGCACACCTGAGTTGGTTGATGGAGTTTCTGTCACAGGTCGAGGGACATTGTTCCCATTGTCAGGGGATGACTTAAGACCCACAGGTAATCAGGCGAATCGTCTGTTTCTGAATGGAAGCCTTCCTGTTCATGAAAGTGGCTGGAAAGCTAATCACAGTTGATGTATGGGGACCACATTCCTTCTAAATGCACTTTTCATTCTAACAATGGTTGTGCCTTTGGTTGGAGAAGAATGCCATGTCCTACCCCTGCTCTCAGGCTATTCCCTGTGACTGAAAGAAACCCTTAGATTTTTCAGATCCTGAAGAGGACTTGTCAACTTGTGCATGGGTGAATTTTTGTCATATTTATTCAAGGACCTCATGTGTAACTTGACATCTTTCAAAGCAGAGATGCAATTTGGACATCTAATTCTTATATTCAACATTGTGGAGGATTAAGAGTATAGCTAAATGATGAGGGTCCTCATTCATCCTTTTTCTGTTACGAGTATCATTGATCTGACAGGATTCCTTTCTGTTCGGGAAGAAATCACTTCTATCATGTAACATGAACCTTTTCAGCTTTTGCACCATTTCTGCTAGTGGATGTCTCACAAGTGTTTCTGTGTCCATTTAAATGCTCCCTCCCCTGCAATAGGTTTGCAGGAGCCACATTTATGACCCTGTGCTGTAAAACTTGCTGCAAGTCATCATATTTTAAAATCTGTGCTCCATTTCTCAGTTAAACACCAGGCTCCTGGAATGTCAGGGCCAAAGCTCTTCATCCTATTTTGCGCTCACCACTTCCGCCTACACCTCAGCAAAGAGAACAGCACATAATTAGTTCTTGATAATAATTCATATTTGTAAAACACCTTACCTGTTACAAAGTGCTTTCACAAACATCCTCCTACCTAATTACATGAGTTGATTGAAATTAACTGAAATAACTGAATGGAGCACACTCTCATTAGGGGTTAGAAACTTAGGCAGAGGGGAAGTAGAAGATATGGGACTAGGGATGGCAAAGCAACTGTGATTAGAGCACATAGATGTGGAGTGGCAGATTTCCACTAACAGCTATTTCCAGAACATGCAAGCTCTACTGGGTGGCTAGTTCCTGCTACCCCAAGTGGGTTTACTCTCAGCTCCATAAAAATAACTCATATTAAGTCCCAGAGTGGCTTCCATAATGCTAAGAGATGGGTTGTGCTTTTGTTTCGCTACCAGGAATCAAACTCACGACCTTGCGCTTGCCAGGCAGGTGCTGTGCCACTGAGCTAAATCCCCAGCCCCTGGGTTGTGGATAATATGAGGTTCATTTCTTTTCCTGATAAGAAAACTGCTACCATATAACTGCACTATACCACTCCTGGGTATATATTCAAAGGATGTGAAGTCATCATACCAAACAGATACCTGTGTGCTCATGTGCCTATGTTTATTGTAGTACTATTAATAATGGCTAAGATATAGGCTCAACCTAGGTGCCCGTCAATAGATGAATGCATAAAGAAAATACAGCTGATACACAATGGAGCATTATTCAGCCATAAAGAAAAAGGAAATTCTATTATTTGCAGCAAAATAGTTGGCATTATAAGATATCATATGAAGTAAAATAAATGACACAGAAAGGCAAGTATTTTATGTTCTTTCTCATTGGTAAGCAAACAAAAAAGTCTATTGAATGTAGAATAGTGATTGCTAAAGACTTGGAAAGATGCTGGGGGAAGGGGAGAAGAGGGAGGTGGAAGATGGGAGAAGGGTTTTTGGATATGATTAAAGCACTTGATATGGACATATGTTAATATCACACTACATCCCACTTATATGGACAATTATATGTGTTATATTTTTGGGAAAAATAAGACAAAAAATGACACTAGGTATATCTTCCATCATAGTCACTAGCATGAAGTTTGCTACTGTTCTTCCTTCTGCTGAGAAACTATGAGGAATGGGGTTCAGCTAAGCCACACAAAAGGAAAGAGACTTTCCTTTCCATTAGGGACATGTAAGAGAGGCAGCAAAACAGAAATAGGACAGGTAGACCTGAGGAGCTCTAGATGTGCTAAGGAATTGAAAAGCCCTTCACCAGGAGTTAGTGCAGGAAAAAATAGCAGAGATCGAAGAGACTTTCTTAAATCAAAAAAAGGGAAGCTAGACTTCAATTCAGTAGTGATAGTATGCAGACAGCAAGATAAATTCACTTGTGATTGTTTCTGTAGATTTCCAAAAATACACTTTGAACTATCTTGAGACCCTGAATTTAAAGATATATTTTCTACTACTTTAATAGTCATACTTTACTATTAAATATGGAAACAGGCATTTTATTTTTTTACAGAGAAAGGATAATTAAGTAGATCCTTTTTATTCATGCTTCTCTTTCCTACAGTGAAAAAGAGTTTCACTGTTTGCTTGACTTCGCACATGTCGATACCAGAATGCCAAGTAGGGCTCCTCGGGGGAAACAGCCAACTTTATGACTATTCTTGCCCAAAACCAGCTTGATGAAATACTACAGATGTCTTACCTCCTTATACCCAACGTCACTTTTTCACATAGTCTACCTTACTATGTACTTTAGTTATATAACATTAAAAAGCATGAATTATATCTGTTTAATTTCTCCTGGAACTTGGAGACAGGTAGGCACCATAGATACCCTTTGATGATCCTAATGAGATCAGTAAAGGGGACAGTACATCACAATCATAGCTATGTTCCCTAAGGTAGATGGCTGTTTCTAAGCCCCTTCTGCATGTATTTATACTCTCCACATATTTCCTACCCACTCCCATTCTAACATTCCTGGAATATTTATTGGCCAGGACAACATTAGTGAAGTTGCATTAGCATTAGTGAAGTAAAGAGGAAGCCAGTGAGAGTGCCTGAACGTGGTCTAGAAGCCTCGAGCAAGACCTCATTTCATTGCTGAATTGCAAGGGAGGTCCTGGGGATGGGTGGAGGTGGGTGAGGTAGGGCATTTCAGAGTCTTGGAGTATTAGTGACTAAGAAATTATCGCAACTAGAGTGCTCCATCCAAATGGCTGTCTTGCAAGTACCTCAAACATCCATAGCAGAGGGGGGTAAAGCTTAGGGCCGCACAAGTAAATGTTCCCTCTGAGGGGATATTTGCCACTGGCCTGGGCCCAGGGATTATTAGTATTAAGGATTCCACCTCAGTACTCTGTCCCAGCCAGCAGAATGGAACATTTCTTCCTTTGCACAGCTGATTCCACCATATCTTTCATTTCTACCTCTGCATCTG